GTGTCGGCCATCCTTCGGTTGCAATGGAAACGATGCACTGTGTCGGCTCCCAGCTTCTGAGTGAGAGTCAGGAGGAGTGCCGCCACCGCCTGATCCGAGAGTGGTGGCCTGGAGGTGTCCTCTTCGAGGGCCTTGACAGTCTGGTTCCAACGTTGATATTTCCAGCCCTTGGCTGGATCTCTCCAGCCTAGTCCCGCAATCTTATTGGCCAGAGCCTCCTCTTGACAGACCCTCTCCAGGCGGTTGCCGAGTTCCTTGAACATGGCTATGGCCATCACAGTTTTGAGCGGAATGAAGCCTGGGGTCCATGCCGGGTCCGCCTGCTGATGAGCCTGAAACTCCTTCGCGGTCTGGAAGAGGTGGTGCAGGATGTTGTGGTCGCCCGGCTTCATGAAGAAGATGAGTGCATGGTCCTGTTTCAGCACTTTGATTTCTTCCTCCAGTTTGACCACATGTCTTGCCAAAGTATGCAGTAAGCTTGAGCTTCGAGGTTGCGACTGCTGGTGGCCGTAGGGCATCATCAGAGGACCGTCTGTCGCCCCTCTTTGAGGCGGGCGCCGTCGTTTGTTCGAGGCCTGAAGCTCCTGTTGGTAGGAGCTCGGAAGTGTCCCGAAGAACTCGGCCAGCTCGTCGTCCCCCATCCTGCTGGAGTATGGTCATGATCGCGCACTGCCAGGTAACTGTGCATTTCCGTACATGCTCTCTCCAGTCCTTGCACCGAACATTGCAAAAGTGGCAGGTAGGGCAGGCTGTAGCAGAGCGGGTCTTCTAAAAGAGCCTTATGTGAGTACTGATAATGTCTTTTCATGCATCTATGCGAAGCCACCCATTGGCCACACAAAGCACAGGTCTGCAGGAGCTGTCGTGTGATAGGTTTGAGCGGAATGAAGGCGTTCAATCCCTTGCGTGCAGCTGCACTGGCTTCCGGTAGCTGATTGATCACAGTGGTGTCGGGATTTAGACTGTCGCCTGTCTGGGGTGGTTCGTTGTGGTGAACCATCTCCGACTCAAGCTTCTCCATCACACTATGATCAAAAGAAGGACAGCTGTTGCTTGTGATATGGTTAGCCAGGGTTTGCCATCTGGAGAAGCGATGCTTGCAAAATCGGCAGGTAGGTAGCCCCTGTATAGAGTGCAAGGCCTTATTGAAGACTGGGGCTGTCTGATCCACGTGATCATGAGCTCTACGAGCATGCACTTTCAAGGCTGCTTGGGTGGGGAACATAGACTCGCAGAAGGGGCAGGCCCAGGTGGCCATTTCAAGGCTGCTGTCACTTCGACCTGGTTGTCGTACTGCGAGTTGGGCCTCCAAGTGGGTCTGCCATGTAGGATCATGCATCCAATCTGGGCTTTGCTGCTGAGCCTGATGGACGGTTCGAAGATCCTCCCGAAAGACCTCGTGAATCCGAGGTATGCCGTACTTGGTGATGATCTCCTCATGTGTCCCGTCAGGAAAGCTTGGTTGTTGACGATAGCTCTGACGTGCTTCATGATGGCTCGCTGGAAGTCCTCGATTTGGTCCCCCGTGAGGCCACAATGAGGGAGGCCGTAACTCATGGACGAGAGCACACAACTACGCCACACATTGAGTTTGTAGGCAACTTTCAGTCGTCCTGAGTGGAGAACTGAAGCCAGGGCCCATCTTCGGTTATGAGCCTTAGTCAGTCTGTGTCGCAGTGATTGTTGCTCGTAGTTGTCGTATGAGATGATGAGGCCCAAATATTCGGTATGTTTAACCAGCGAAATCCAGTGTGTAGGGTCCCGGGCATTCAGGAGGAGGCGGTTCTGGTCCTCGTGTTTCCGGACATAGGCCTTCCGGAGTTTGTGCTTCAATGTGCCAACAACCTTGAGGATGGCCTTAGATTTCTCTGCATTGATAATCAGGTTGAAGCGCCTGAAGCACGCAAACACCACTCGCATTTCGGCAATGGCTCGTTCGAACCCCTGGTATAGGTGTCAAACTTCCAGCGAAGATGAGAATCGTCTGCGAAGAGGGCCAGATGGTCTCTGGTCCATCCCTGATGAAGCCTGTGGTCGATATTGGCGCAGAGAAGTGCTGTGAAAGCGGCCCAAAGTACCGGAGACCCGGTGCAGCCTTGGCGGAGGCCGGTCTTGGGCTTGACGGTGCCCTTGAAATGATACCTCACTTGAGTGAGCCAGCAAAGAAGAACATCTTGCACGGCTACGTCCACCTGGGCTAGGTCGAGAGCTTCTTTGATGTGCTCCCAGTGAATGAGGTCGAACGCTGCTGTGAGGTCCAAGCTTGCTTGGACCCCCCCCTGGCATTGTGTGTGTTGAAGGCCTTCGTGCTTCTGATGGATCGTGAGACGGGCCTGCGAGCATGTAGTTCTGATGTCCCTGCAATGAGCAAACACCTGACGTAGGGCTGTATAGGTCGAACGCCCTTGCACATAAGCACATTGCGGATATCTGATGATCAATTCGCGAATGGCCTGCTTGGCCTGCAGAATGATCGTGCTCATCACACACTTCCCGAGGGGGTCCTGGACCCCTATAGGGCGCCAGTCCAAGGGGGAGCGATTACGACCGTGTGCCTTGGGGAGGAGGGCAACGTCCGCGTCCGACCACCGGTCCGGCACATAGTTCCCGCCCTGCCCCCATTGAGCATTCAACTGTTGTGCGACCGGTTCTGCCAACAGCTCTGAACATGACTTCCACAAGATGGCAGGGGCCGTGTCCCGAGGAACTGCTTTGCGAGGGTGCAGCTTGTTGAGGTAGTGCTGGAGGTCCGCGGCCTGTATGGTGAAGCCGGGGTGTGCAGGAGAGGTAAATTGTGTGAGTATCTCCGAGTTTCCTGCTTGGTATCGTTCGCCATAGGCTGCGAGTATCCATTCCAGTTCTTCCTCAATAGGGATCATGTGGCCATTTCTGTGAAGTTGAAGCTTACGACGAGGGGCCCTGGGTGCTAGCTGTTTGATTGTTCGCCATAGGCCATGTGCATCTCCTCGATCTGCAGCTTGCTGAGCCTGAGCGAGTAGATCTAGTTTTCTCTGTTTAGACCTCTCCTTGCTCCTGGTCTTGTGGAGTCTGTGGGCCTGACTGAATCTCGTCCACTGCTTCCAAGCTGTAACCACACCTTGCATGGAAAATCGGTGTGCGCGCATCTCCCGAAAAATACGCCACATGTCACGAGCACAGTTCGCCAGTGCCTCGGGTTGGGTGGCAGCTGGTCGATCTTGTCGTCGTAAGGGGTAGTGCGCTTCACCGGCCTGCCGAAGAACAAGATGATATTCGGTGACTGACCTGTGGAGCTGCTGCTGAACATCCTGTCGCAGAGCTTGTAGAGCCGGTGGTGGTACAGGCTGCCGAAGATCGTGTATGAGTTGCTCCTGATCGATTTTGGCTGGTGTTTAACATTGTCTTCGTTGTCGATGCCATGTTGCTTGTGGGACTGGGGTCAGCGCGAAGACCGGGTAGTGTCGAGTTCCGCCACGCCATGCCGCTACCGGAAAATCCGGCAGGGCACATGCAGTCTTGGCCTGATGAGTGACGTGCTGAGCTCTTATCATGATAAAATCGATTTGCGAGTATGAGGCTGTGTTGGCCTCACCAAAAACAAAAGTGGCCAGCTGTCCCGACTGAGGCTTCTGCCAAGTGTTCAATGCAGTGAGGTGCAAGGAGCGCCACACCTGTTGATGATCCTGGCAATCAGTGTAGTACAGGGGGTTGTAGGGAACCACAGCAGGTCCACAAGTGCTTCCCGAAGGCTCGCACGGGCAATTGAAGTCGCCCCCGAGGATCAGACCATTGCGTCGAGGTAGGTGAGCCACCGCCTTCTGGATTTGCATCAGCAGCTTCTGTCTCCTGGCGAATGTACCATCTTGTTGATTGATCGCATATTGATATGCAGCAAGGATGTCAATGTGAGTACTTCCATGTGGTATGCGAGCATGCAAGAGCCTGCCGGGGTGTGGCGCATAAGATTGTATCTCCTCTGCCTTGGCCAGCCGAGTGGACAGTATGATGAGGACACCAGCTACACGGTCGTGAGGGCCGCTGCCCGGACTGTGGATGTAGTGGTAGTGGCGATTACTCCACGTGGCCTCAAACGTCCATTTCGTTTCAGCTATAAGTGCCACGTCCAATTGTTGATCTAGAAGCCAGGTTTCCAATTCTTGAAAAACGGAGGTCGTCAGACCTCCCGAGTTCCACCACAGCGTGCGCCAATGTGGCACAGCCTGCGGCTTAGGACGGAGAGTAGGCAGACTTTGTGGCCTTAAGTCCGAACCTGCGAACCATGCCATCGGTCGCCACCGGCCCTTGTAGAGAGCGCCTCCCGTTCGTTCGGCACGATCTTGCAAACGCTCTACGGAAGGATCTTTTAGTGCAACTGGAGACTTGTGTGTGACTAGTCGGAGGCTCGCTGGCCTTCCGCATCCCATTCGGCTTTGCTGCCGCTTTCACAGCAGCTTCAGGTGCTGCGATGGGAGCAACACCAACCCTCGCATCTGTGTCTCCCGCTCTCACAGAGTAGCAGCAAAAGCACAGCCAAAGAAGCAAAGTGAAGAGTGCTTGTTGCCTGCAGGAGACACGGCCGGACTTGGGACCGACCCGGCTGGTTGTAGAAGAGAAGCAGCCTGCCATTGAACAAAGTGCTCGTTTGAAGCTGCATAGAATGTGTGCTGGGATCTGGGCGAGCCGTAGAAGCCCAAGTCGCAGTAAGTGAAGACACCTGGCACATTGAGGACGATGAACTTGCCTAGCCTCTATAAAAGGTGCAAGTAGGAGCCGACTTGAGGGTCCCGCCGTCGTTTGCAGAGTGGAGGTGGTACTGTACCTGGCCAGCATAGAGCTCTGCGATGATGTATGCACTGTGCAAGTCTCTGTCTCTGTGGTGATGCAAGCATACGGGCAGGGTATTTTCCTCGATGGCCAATCTTCGGTCTGCTCTGATCTGATGGCAGGTCTGTCGCATAAAGCCAAAATTATGCCCACTAGCATCACCCAGAGCTCTAGCCCTGGCAAGGAGTAAAAAGCCCTCAGGTTGTCAGGTGTGGGAGTCCCTTGTACGCCTGGGCAAAGAGAGGTGGGGGGAGAGTGGTTCGAAACCACAGCCAACAAACTGCAACTGCAAAGTATCAAGTGAGGACCGTACTTCCGAGAGGCCTTGGGCTTGGCCTTGGGAGCACTGAACGAGCTGCTGGCGGTGTTGTTCGGCTCCGCCATCGTGTTGCTCGCCATGGTGACGGCCTCCTCACCCATCTCAGGCTCCACCGGGTGCGATATCATCTCCTCGAGCTCTCCCCTTCGCTCCAGCCATTCTGCCGTGGCCCTTCGAGCCCTGCTGCGAGCATCTTCCGGTCGCTCTTCGACCGTATCCTCCGGGTCCTCCAGCTCACTCAGCTGCTGGTCCGAGCAATGCAGCACGTCCGTGTGGAGGAACTCGTTCGGCGTCATAGGGCGCAGGGTGGCTGTGATGCCCACACAGTCAATGATCCTGCCCTGGATCCTTGTCAAGAAAGCCCCCTGGTGATTGATGTTGGGCTTCAGGGCATCCACCAGAGCCTGGGAAAGGCGAAGCGAGAAGATGTTCTGGGGCGGAGGTGGTCCGTACGGCGGCTCATGTGGTTCCACCGGTGCCTCAACTGTCTCCTCTGGCCGTCCAGAGCTGCTGCCTGTCGCCATACAGTAAGGATCTAAAGCAGCTGGCTGCACCGGCACCTGGCAAATTTGAGCCTGCTGCAACAAAGAGGCTGCTCTCTCAGTTGTCTCTGTGTTGCATGGAGCAGTGCTGGTAACAGTACAGGCGGTCGATTCTGCACCGCTCGCAACATGCAGAGGGCACTTGGTGAACATTGCAAGCAGAAGCTGTACCAGCCTGGAGAGCAAGGAGCACAAGGACATTCGCTGTGTTCTATGATTACCACGTCGACGAGACTGCCTACGCCTGGCACGGGCCATGTAGCGAAACTTCCAGTTCCTGCAGGTTTTTCCAATGTCGGGCTTGAACTGTCCGGTTATTTGCTGTTGCAGGCTCCTAGTCCATGGTTTCCAGGTCAATCTGCTGGCGAGGTCTACCGTGGGGCCAGAAGTGCTGGAGCCAGGCTGGGTAATGTAGGCGGCACCAGGTCCATAGAGCCAGCTCGTCTGGTGGCTTACGAAGGCCTCGGGCTGCTTGCAGGGCCCGACCTGGGT